ACACTGAGGAATGGACCTATATTCCCTGTCCACACAGTCCAGGTACCTGGTTCTCCAAGCATCCAGGACCTGGAAGTAGATTTGACTTGTCTAAAAAAAAATTAAAAAAAAATATAGCCACGTGGTCACAGGGTGTCCCTTCGAGGTCATGATGAGACTTAGACAAGGGGAGTCAAACACTCAGTATCTTCACACCTTTGCCTTCGCTCCCTAGGAAGCACCAAGGCCTGGCTGTAGAGCACAGGAGGTTGGGATTGCTGTGCAGACAGCGACTAAGGTTTTACAGCTATTTCCATTGCCCCCTTGGTTTACAACACATCGGAGGGTGCCCTCAAAACCTTCAGCTTCTTGGGGATCGTGGCTTGGCTCCCTCTCGCCCCCAAATCAAGTCCTCTAGCCCCCGACAGCCCTCTCTTGCCACCACTAACCCTGAGAAAACTGCAGGAGGGTGAGCTGCAGAGGCTGGTGACAGAAGAGCAACCCCGTGAAGACAGACGTTAGAAATGCCTCACACAGGATTCCTATGACCAGCTGTTTGGATTATAAAAGAGGGATCATGGAGAAAGCTAAACTGTTTTATGGGACGACATCAAATGTATGTTTAAAACAAAATGAAAGCCAAAAGTTCTGCCATGCAGAGTCTGTGTACCCCACACTGAAGGAATAACTAAACCACAAGCACAGAGAAGGAGTTTCTGTTGACTGGAGGAGATAAACAGCCAGGCTTCTAGGGCATAGGACATGATCATGTTTTTCTACGTTAGCTTTGTTTCCCAGATGGTTACAAAAAAAATTCATGCGAGAATCCAGCATAAAAATCAGTGCCAATGAAACATCTGGGGAAAGGGAAAAAGGAGGCAAATGTTGTTCCCTATGTGTTTTAGAGATCCATAAGAATTAAAGCAATCCTATATAATAAAAGGCTAATATGCAAATCGACCAAACGGAGGAACAGCCTGTCACTATGACGCACACTGACCAGCAAGAGGCAGAAGCTCAATGCAGGAGCTGCCCCCTGGTGGTCAGTGCACTCCCAGAAACCAGGCTCACGGCTGTTTGTCGAGTGCAGCAGCGGTGGCAAGAGCCTCTCCCGCCTCCGAGCAGTGCTAAGGACCCCTCGGGGGATGTCCGACTGCTGACTTAGGCCTGTTCTCTGCAGGGCTCAGGCCCCCACCCCATGCAGCACACAAATGCACCGGGCCTCTAGTATACATAATAAATTAGACAGTCGCCAAGGAGGTATTCTCCTGCTGCAGGCTTCACAGAATTGTAGAAAGTGGCCACAGTGAGACAGGACTATAAATCATCTACTTGAATTCCTCCTTTTATGGAGGAAGAACCCACTGGGTAGGTGGGGCATCCTCAGTCAGCCAGCAGCGTGGGCAGCAGAGCACCCCTCAGGGATGGCACCTTGGCAAAGCCAAGAAGAAAAGAAGTTAAAGCAACGCTCTATATTTTGCAGAAGGCTGGGGCTGGGCAGGGCCTTGGAAGACACCCAAGTCCAGTTGAGGAGACCGAGTCTCAGGGAGCTTAAGGGTGTTGGTCAAAGTCACACAGTTTCCCACGCTCATGTCATCATGCTACCTGCCTCACTGCTGGCTTTACGTTTTATGTGACTATTATCATCTGGGAGCATCCCAGGGGCTTTTATTATTATTTCTTTAAACACAAACAATCCCCGTGTTCACTGTATTAGTTCAGAGGTCAGCAAATCGGCCGCCTTCGTTTAAAGCTCTGAGAGTCTGGACCACCCCCCTGGTAACATAAAATTTTCCCGGGGACTTCTAAATTACTCCAACTTTTGGACTACGAATCACTCCCCAAACACAAACTCAGTTTCTCTAAGGTTATGTTTAGAAACCCAAATAAGGTACATTGAAGATATATTTCACCCTTGTAAGGTCCTATCACTTGCTCTAACTCGTGGCGGAAAACAGACTTCATATCAGACCCTTTCCATTCCCTTCTTCCTCCGTGACTAGGTGTAGATCAGAGAATCGTGATTCAGGATTAGAAAGGTCCTCAAACGTCAGTCAGTCCAACTGCCTCTCTGAGTTATACCCGCCTCACCTCGGAGCCATCTATTCGTGTTTGTCGTCCCAGGAGTCCCACTTTGTTCTAAACATCACTATGTGGCAGAGACTGGTTTGGCTCAGTGGATAGAGCATTGGCCTGCAGACTGAAGGGTCCTGGGTTCGATTCCGGTCAAGGGCATGCACCTTGGTTGCGGGCACATCCCTAGTGGGGGGTGTGCAGGAGGCGGCTGATCGATGTTTCTCTCTCATTGATGTTTTTAACTCTCTGTCTCTCTCCCTTCTTCTCTGTAAAAAAAATCAATAAAAATATTTTTTTAATAAAATAAAACATCACTATGTGGAAAGCGCTCCTCCGCTGAATTTACCTCCACCCCCCTGTACCTTCCTCTGACTAGCGGGGGTCTTTTACCAGGTCCCGTTTGCTGAGAATATAAAGGATGGCCTCCACAATCTTCTGTGACAAGAATGGAAACATGACATAAACGGCTTCTTATGACACTCAAACATGTATCAATACAGGGGTGGGCTAAAGAAGGTCACAGATGGAAAACAAAACAATAAGATTAATAAACAGTAATATAAAAATAAACTCTGTGTTTCACTTACTCACAACTGCAGACCTGCCTTTACCCACCCCTGTATATTTAAAGGGCTTGTGCCCATTTTCTCATCCTATGAAAACAGCTGACTAGACTTTCACCAAATGTAGAGTGATCTGCTTTGAAACGCAGGCTGTGTGCTGCATGTGAAACCAATGTCACGCAGCTATGATTACGGGGCCTCTGAGAGAAAGTCAGGCGTATCTCAGGGCAAAGAAACTCAGGGTCAGAGGCCTACGTCACTGCCGATCAAGAACAAGAGTCCTTGTGTATTAAGCTGCTGTATCAGAAAAGCAGACGGAGATTTCAAATATGAATGCAGATTAAAGATCGGAAGAACAAACGTTCCAAATTATAGGCGCTAATGTATAATCAAGTTCTTTTGAAATGGCTTTGTACGTAGGCAGCTTCTGTAGCATACTCCAGTGGCAACCAGGATTCATTATTCAAGGATATTTAATGATTTCCCTGGGGATCAGCTAGTAAGATAATATATGTGGAAATGTTTCATAAACTCTAAAACTATAAAATCTGATGCTGTATCATCATGATATTTCTGTCTCTGAGTGTTCACCGTGAGCATATACTTACTGTCAAAGGTGCTAGGCATTTTTAACATTATATACAAGTGAATAAAAAACAAACAAACAAAAAATCCCAACCCTGACACCAAAAGCTTGGTCTTGTAAAAGATTTCTTTACCTGGCTCTAGGTGTATGAAAAATGATACTATGGCAAAATTGCATGAATTTATGGTTCACATATAAAGTTGAAAAAAAATCCTAAGACAGGAAAATTCCCAAAGAAAACAGGCATAAATAACAGTGGGAGGGTTTTTGCTACAACTGAACAGAGTCTACCTTGCCATGCAGGCTGAGAGATGGTGGCTCAGAACCAAGCAGGGAGTGAAGAAATGTGGGCCCAGAGACATGTCTGGGAAGCTGTAATGAACTCTATCATGAAACAGGGGAAAGAGCTGGATGCCCTTGAAGGTACTTCCTCTCCCAAATTATTAGTTGACTATAGGCCCTGTGCATGAAATTCATGCATGGGGAGGGGCCCCTCAGCTCAGCCTGCACCTTCTCCAATCCAGGACCCCTCAGGAGGTGTCCGACTGTTGGTTTAGGCCTGATCCCTCTCACAATCCAGAATACTGGCTCCTAACCACTCGCCTGCCTTCCTGCCTGATCGCCTCCTAACTGCCTCTACCTGCCAGCCTGATCAACCCCTAACTGCCCTCCCCTGCCGGCCTGATCACCCTCTAACTGCTCCCCAACTGTCCTCCCCTGATGACTTGATCGCATCCCTAACTGCCTTCCCCTGCCAGCCTGATCGCCCCTAACTGCTCTCCCCTGCCGGCCTGGTCATCCCTAACTCTCTCCCCTGCCAGCCTGATCGCCCCTAATCACCTCTGCCTTGACCCCTGCCACTGTGGCTTTGTCTGGATGTCCGGAAGATGCCCAGTCTAATTGGAATATTACCCTTTTATTAGTATAGATGTTGAACCACTGACAATAGGAAAACTGATAGGGAAGATGATTCTAACGAGTCTTCCAAGAAACTAGACAAGCTGCTTTCTTGTGAAGTTGGACACAATCAACCACAAATTAATACTAGCTTGTTCTGTGCCTATTAAAAAAAAAAGAAAAGAAAAGACTCACTCATTCATCTCACTATATTCATGTGTTCCTTAGGGCCCATCTATACAATATAACCTGATGGTTAAGAGCATGGCTTAACAAGACTTCCCAGATTCAAATCCTGGCTCTGTCACCTGCTAATTGAGTAGCAACCTTAGGTAATTTACTTCATTTGAACCTTCATTCCCTTATTCACTAATGGAGTCATTACGAGGAAAAGGTGAATTAATAAGTAAGAAGTCCCTGGAACAGTGCCTGGTGTATGGCACGTTACCACCTTTCTGTTCCTGGGCCTCACAGCCAGGCCCCATCTCAAGGAGAGAAGCGCCTGTGAGAAGAGATCAATTAAAACTGCCTCTCATACTCCGCTGGGGTTTCAAAGTTTTAAAGTTTTATGTTTACATTTTGTTTTACGTGTTTCTCTTCTTCTTCTTTTTTTTTTTTTTTAAATGAAAGCAAGAAGTTTACTTTCTTCTGCCAAAGAACAATGAATCTATCCACTCAATGATTGTGGTTTCCATGAGAAAGTAAGTGGAAACAGATGTTTCTGAAAAATAAAAACCATACTATATAGCACTGGTGTCGCTCACATAAAACTTTCCACCAGCCACCCCCAGAGCCAGCTGCCAGCCCCCCACAACTGTGACCCCCCCTTCCCCGCTCCCAGATGCCTGGGCCCAGACACCTCTTCTTCTACTTTCTACCCCAATCCACAACGTGCCAACCTTCGATGAAATCTGAGGCCGTGTAAGGATGCTGGTTTGGGCTGTTCTCTGCGGGGCTGTTGAGGGTCTCCAAGGCTGATTCGATGGCCTCCACCAACTCATCCCGCTTGTCCTTCCTCACGGGTTTCTCTTCAGGGTGGCGGGTCAGGCCCATCTCCAACTGGTACACCTTCTGCAGGGTGAAACTGTCGAAAGGCACTGCGGCGTACTCGGTGGCCAGCTTGACGCCGGCGTGCACCTCCGCCTTGTCCACCTGCGAGTGCAGGAAGGCCAGCAGGTCGGCCTGGGTTTTCTCGGGAGCGCCCGGCTCGGGGCCCAGGCCCGCGGCATCGCTGGCCTGGTACTGCGCATTCCGGAGCTGCTCACTCCTCTCCTGCAGCTCCTCCTTGAGCTGTGCGATCTGCCTCTTGAGGCTGCTGATGTAGTTGCGGTGCTGCTCCTCCCACTCCTGCAGGGCGGCCTGGTACCCTTCCTTGCCTGTGGGGCCGTTGGCCCTGGGCAGCCCCAGCTGCTCCTCGTTGCCTTTGGGAGTGCAGGCCAACATGTAGAGGACGGAGACGGCACAGCAGAGAAGCACGAGCAAAACCACCACCCGAGAGATCCACGCAAGCAGCCCCCGGCGAACCATCGTCATTCAGGAATCAGCCATGCGTCCAGAACTGGCGACATCCCAGAACCTCAGGGCCCCATGGAAGGGCTTGCCCTGGACTAGACCACGGGAAGCATGCGTTTGGGGCCCCCTGAGCTGCCTTCATCCATTTCTTTCTACAACACGTCTTGTCTCTCGAAGTCAAGCATCCCGTGGGGCACGTTTTCTCCTTCTACAGGATGGTCTTCCAGGCAGAAGCAACAAGTTAGCTGAAACCTCCAAATGGTCACACTCAGACCCATCCTAGCCTTCCAAATGCGCAGCAGGCAACAACAGGGGACCTAGGGAGAGACCAAATGACAAAACACTTCATCAAGATAAGAACACTCTTATGTTCACGATGCCAATCAATGTTCAATAGACCGCCCATGGGGTTTACAGGAAAATGCTTATAACAGGTGATTAAATATTGTTAGATGTTTGGAAATCATAATGCAAAGATGCATCTGCAGAGCAATGCATATAAATAATAAAGGATAGCAAAAAAAAAAAAGATTGGAAAGAAATATGGCGAAAATTGAAATCTCTCTGGATGGAAATATTAATGGTGATTTTTCTGTTTCTCTACACTTTTCTGTATCTTGTAAACTTTCCACAGTGGCACCTATTATTTTGGTGGTTAAAAGGGGGAAAGCAAATTTTAATGACATTTAAAATTGAAGGCAGGGACTTCTCTGGCCAGGTCAGCCCAGGCTGCAAAAGGTGAGGCGTGAATGGGCTCACCCTGGTGCATTCATACAGGACAGGGTTCCAAGCTGGCTCAAGGGTCTTCAAGCTTATGATCAGGAGACAGGGAAGTTCAAATACACAAATAATAAATGTGGGTGATAATATATTCGGGAGGAGTCAGGGGACAATGGTTTTAGTGAACTCTCCAATTCTCCTGTGGACTGGAGATGGTGAGTTTCCCATAGAAAAGGATGGGGCTGGGAGAAGAACAGAGACCAGATATACTGTCTGCTCGGGACTCAAATCCCAGGCATGTCTCCACTCCAGCCTCCAGGAGGAATTCTGTGTCCTGACTCTCATCAGAAATATCCAGACAGATCATAGGGCCTTCCATTTGACTACATGCTCTGCCCCTCGACTCCAAATGCCTGTAACATGTGAGTCAGCCTAACTTGCCATTCCCATTTCCCCAGGCATCCCTCCTTTTCCTCCACCCATCACGGTCATCACTACAACACTGCTTCTTCTGTGTTCTCCCCCAGTACCTATCTGAGCCAGAAAAAAAAAAAATAAGGAATGATAAATGGAAAATAGATCAAATAACATTTATTGTTTAGAGAGATTTTTATAAGATCTTCCTAGATGCATCTTTTTTTGTCACTTCTCTTAAAAACAAGTTCCCTGGGGGTACCATGCCCTGCCCTTTTTATAAAAATTTGACATTTTCAATAAGCCACAAATGAAAATATGAATTATTCTTTTAAAAATATATTTTATTGATTTCAGAGAGGAAGGGAGAGATAGAAACATCAATAAAGAGAGAGAATCATTGATCGGCTGCATCCTACACGGCCCCTACTGGGAATCAAGCGGACAACCCAGGCATGTGTCCTTTGGGAATTGAACTGTGACCTCCTGGTTCATAGGTCAATGCTCAACAGCTGAGCCACACTGGCCAGGCAATAAGTAAATTTTCTTTACATAGTTTTCACCCAACCCAGAAATCCAGGTTTTGGGCCAATAACCATATAATCATCTCATTTACTGGCAGGTCTGTCCCATTTACTCGAAGGAGGGCTCCAGGGAATTAGAAACTTCAGGGTCTCTGGGAGAAGAGAGTGATGTTCCTTCTAGCATTCTCTCTATGCTGATAATATAGTAAACAATAAAGGCTCATTGGCATGTATGCACCTGCTATATGCCATGGCCACACACGAGAGTCTCCTTCTGTTACCCTGGTGATGCAACCCTTACCGATATTATTATGTTATCAAAATAATTTATTTCTTAATTTCCTTAAAGATTCAGCACATAATACTCTCTCCAATATTTCCCTGGGCCTGAAAATTTTCTTTTGTATAACTGAGAACAATATGCAGTTATTATTGCTGAGTTTAAAGTATATTTTAGCCCTGGAAGCCTTTTCTATCTGGTGAAAATCTTGGGATTCATATAATTACTATAATTCTGTGATTAAAAACATCTCAGCTTTGGTATTCAGGCACCTTGCTGTTTTTAATGAAATCTCTCAGATGAACTCATTACATCCAAGTATTAAATTACTAGGGAAGACATGTTATCACATTATTCTGCCACTTTAAAGACTTTTTACTTTAAATGAGTTGTCATTAAAAACAAAATAAGCAAATCAAAAACCAAAAATGAAATACTCAACGTAATTTATTGGGTGGCAGAAACCCAATCTTTCCAACAGATTTTTTAAATGGAATAATTGTCACATTTGCATAATAAATTGAAATCATGTTGGTTAGCTGAAGCAATGTATTAAAACTAAAGAAACTTAAAACTGCACAATAATTATTTTGTGTTCCATAAGGCTCTTTTAACATCTAGTCTGGCTTTTGAAATCCACTAGTACACTTTTCTAAGTTATTTAATACCAGTGACCCGGTGCACAGTCTCGTGCACATTGAAAATAAATTAATTAGAAGGTGGCCGGAGGGTGGGGACTAGATGAGACAGTGTCAGACCTGCCCTGGAACCAACTTCCTGTGGGCCCTCCCCCACGTCTGAGGAGTGAGCAAGGGTCCCTCCAGCAGGAAGGGAATCGGGCCAAAACCCTTTGTCCAGACTGAGGTTTTTATTTTGCTATAAAAAATGCTGCACAGTGTAACATCTAACACAAAACCCTTTGGCCAGGAATCGGGCCAAAACCGGCTCCCCATATCCCCCCGAGAGATTCCAGAGTAGGGAGGGCACTCTACAAAGTTTCTGACATACACGGTGTGGAACGTAAACGCAAGTGCGCAGTAAACAACATTCAGGGCCGACAGTGCCCCAGCAACAACATACCCCATGGCCAAAGGTGGAATCATGTGGCCTTGTGAGGAATCAGGCTCCCTCCTCTCTGGTTTCAGGGTGCGTCACCCAAAAACCACCACTGCCAAATCACCGCAGCTTGGCAGCTCCTACATCGAGCGTCTGCCCCCTAGTGGTCAGTGCATATCACAGCGACCGATCAGATGGTCAGACTTTTATATATAGCCTTTTATATATAGAGATAGATTCCATTCTTCAGGATTCAAAAGGAGGAAAAAAAAACATATTTAGAAAGAAATGACTTATTTTTAAAAATATTTTTATATTTTCATTGATTTCAGAGAGGAAAAGCGAGATAGAAACATCAATGATGAGAGAGAATCATTGATTGGCTGCCTCCTCCATGGCCCCCACTGGGGACTGAGCCCACAACCCAGGCATATGCCCTTGACCGGAAATGAACCTATGACCCTTCAGTTGGCAGGTCGACACTTTATCCACTGAGTCAAGCCAGACAAGGCTGACTATTTTAAATGAACAATAAAAAGCCTCATAAATTACTACCAGAGAAGCAGGAATGAATTTCCCTTTTTACGTGTCAGGAGCAGAAACTGTAGGTGAGAAACAAAGTTCTGCATCCTTTCACAGATACGATGTTTTGCCATGTGTCTAGCAATCAAAATAGTAACAACTGGCCACGCTATAGAGACCGGGGGTATCTGTGTGCTGAGGTCAGACGCCTATCCTTCGGCTGACCCTCGCTTCTACGGAAACTTCAAGGGGCAGCACAGGAGGCCACTCTTAAGAGCAGATGGTACTTCACCAGCTGCACCACATCGAGGAGAGAACACCTCGATGAGATGCAACCAGACCAAACAAACAGCTCAGCCCCACAGGCACGGGGCAACCTCTCCCTCTCCCCCCGCAGAGGTGCCGGGAGAATTAGACAGTTAACTTTTCTAATGTGTTTACAGACCATGCCATTACCGAGCACTGTTACAAGTGAGAGAAGACAGGGAAAAGACAGCTTCGTGGAGCCACGGCAGCACTGTGCTACTGTTTTTAAAATTTATAAAGGCACCCAGATTACAGCTCAGTCTTTGGGGTGGTTGGGGACAGAGAAGGAATGGAGAGCAAGAAGGATCCCCTGTCAATAGCAATTTTAAGACCTTTGGGAGAAGAGCGATGCATGTTCCTTTCTCTGTTTGTTTTAAATATAGAAAATCCTTTGTGCTGATCAGGTTCCTTGCCACTCGCATTTTTAAATGTCCTTCCTTACTCATTGCTTTCCCACTTCCTGTCCTGGCCAAATCCCTGAGGATGGTTCTGTGATGCATTCTGTCCAAAACCCCAGAATCATTGAGAACTAAAGGGAACAGCCAATCCAGGCCAGGGGTTGCCCAATGAGGTCACAGCACTTCATAAAGCTTTAAGGAGGAGAATCTCAAAGCCAAGTGGGCCTATGCTCTGGGGGCCAGCAAGGGAGCGGGCTCCAGACTCCAGGTGGAAGTCGTCTGACGGCCTTGACATCCTGCCCCGGCCAGGAAGTGTCCCAGGCGTCCCCCAGGTCTCCACATCACACAGCACTGACTCACCAACAGGTCACATCACAGTCTGCTCCATCTGGGATACTGCCATTACTCACCCTTATTAATAACTCCGACTATGTTCTATGCGATGCATAAGAAAGTACAGCAGACAAAACGATGAACCAAAAACAAACTCCAGCATCAGCAAGTTCATAAGCTTAATGGGGAATTACGGCCTCACCAATAACTATGAGCCCAGAGAGACAAACACCACTAGAATAGATACAAGGTGTTAAAGCCAGTGCTCCTCCCTACTAAATGAGGGTGTGTTGAGGAAGGAAGAGGGTTGAGACATATAAACAAATACATTTTAAAGTGATATAAGCTTAAGCAGAAACCGGGTTGGCTCAGTGATAGAGAGTCGGCCTGCAGACTGAAAGGTCCCAGGTTCGATTCTGGTCAAGGGCATGCACCTTGGTTGCGGGCACATCCCCAGTAAGGGGTATGCAAGAGGCAGCTGATCAATGATTCTCTCTCATCGATGTTTTTAACTCTCTATCCCTCTCTCTTCTTCTCTGTAAAAAAAATCAATAAAATATTTTTAAAAAATAAAAATAAAGTGACATTAGCTTAAAACAAATGTGAGGCACCAACACTATGTGTTAAAATAAGATAGGCAAGTGGCTATAGGTACAGTGTATCATCTCATCTTAGAGTGGAAGCTCTTCAGAGCGTGAAACTAAGACACTCTAAGTTTGGTCCAGAGACTAACACTTACCCCAGATGGGGATGGTGGAAATTAG